AGAGCCCTGGCAATTGCCCCAAATCCTAGAACACGGTCCTAGGTAGGTTTTCGCTGTAAATGAGCCCTTGGGAAAATGCCCCAAATCCTAGTTCCTTTGTAAATGAGCCCTTGGGGAGCCAAAAAAAACCTAGAACAATGTCCTAGGCGCGTTTTCGCTGTAAATGAGCCGAAAAACCTAGAACACTGTCCTAGGCGCGTTTTCGCTGCAAATGAGCCGTTGGAGAGCCCTGGCAATTGCTCCAAATCCTAGAACACTGTCCTAGGTAGGTTTTCGCTGTAAATGAGCCCTTGGGAACATGCCCCAAATCCTAGTTCCTTTATACATGAGCCCTTGGAGGGCCCAAAAAAACCTAGAACACTGTTCTAGGCGTGTTTTCGCTGTAAATGAGCCGAAAAACCTATAACACTGTCCTAGGCGCGTTTTCGCTGTAAATGAGCCGTTGGAGAGCCCTGGCAATTGCCCCAAATCCTAGAACACTGTCCTAGGTAGGTTTTCGCTGTAAATGAGCCCTTGGGAAAATGCCCCAAATCCTAGTTCCTTTGTAAATGGGCCCTTGGAGAGCCAAAAAACCTAGGACACTGTCCTAGGCGCGTTCTCGCTAGAAATGAGCCGAAACACCTAGAACACTGTCCTAGGCGCGTTTTCGCTGTAAATGAGCCGTTGGAGAGCCCTGGCAATTGCCCCAAATCCTATAGAACAGTGTCCTAGGCAGGTTGTCGCTGTAAATGAGCCCCAAATGCTAGTGACCAAGCCACCCAATACAAACCCACCTTTAAGAAAGTCTTTTTCAGAGTCTGGACTGATCCCGAATTTCTTATTCCGAACTGCCAGATTAAGAAATTTCCTGACCCTCGCTTCCGAAGGACGATTTCTTATCAAGAGCCTCGACCGTACTTTGAACCAAGAATATTTCTTGGCTGACTTCTGAACCCCTCCTACAAGTTAAACTTTTAGCCTCCTTATTATAGTTCATATAGAAACCCCAAAAGTTAAAGTCTAAAGAGCCAACCAGAAGAACGCCAAGATTTCTTCATGTATGAACACCTCAGGAATCACCTCTTTGTGCGGTTGGGCCAGAGTTCCAGCATTATTTGGGTCTGCCAGAGGGTGTCATGGGCAGAAAACCTTGATCAGGGGTTGCACAGGATGTTGACGGGGTTCTGTGCGATCTGTCGAAGGCCCTGTTGCGCTTTTTATCCCAGAGGGTCCGGATACACTACTATTATGGAAATAGGCCCGAAAAGACCATCCCCATTATGGTTTTAGGGGCCTAATTCCACCATAGTAGTGTTTATGGACCCTCTGGGTATGATGCCAAAACCTGGTCGTGCCACGCAAAAGTCTGAGTCCGGGGCTTTTCAGCGACGTTGGCACCGGCGTCCGCATGACACTCTTCCACAGCCTCCGTCGCAGAAGCGTGCAGTATGTACAAAACCCGAAACTCTAAAGAACTGATAAGGAAAACCTTTGATGAGGTACCTCTGTCTGTGGGCGCGAGTAAAGGAGCTACACAGTTCCATGACTGAGGAATTGCATTGTGCAGAAGCCGTCCCGACCTAAAACCAGGAACAAGCGGGCGTTGTTTTTTGTTGTCTAGCTTTGTCCAGCTTTTTCTAGTTTTTGATAGAGCTTTCTGGTTCGTGTTAATCTTCTCTCGCTGTTCTCTGCCGTTCGAAAAAAGAACAAATCCGCCTGTATGTGTCATGGAAAGACGAGCTTGTGCGAGGCCTTTAAACTGCCTTTAAAGACAAACCCCATGCACGCCCTGCCTGGTCGTTTCTACCTAGCTTTCGTCGTTGTCTGTAGCTTTCTGCTGCTTTGCATAGTTTTCTACAGAAAACATGAACTGTCCTGCAACTTTGCAGCAAATACACAGAGACACCTGATTGCAGGTTTACTTTAAAACATGTTCCACCCTAAACCCTAAACCCTAAACCCTAAACCCCTAAACCCTAAACCCTAAACCCTAAACCCTAACCCATAAACCCTAAACCCTAAACCCCTAAACCCCTAAACCCTGATCCGAAGAAGCCTGTAGCGGTCGCTCTCTTGGCTGGTCGAAGGAAAAACGGTGCAATGATCCCTAGACCTGAGTTACTACCTAAACTGCCCCAAAAGTAGGTAACATAATGTCCCAATACCTATAAGCGGCTGTTAATCTATATATATATATATGCATATATTTTTTAGGCTACAGGTTATATATATATATATCTTATGTATATATAAATATAGGTACACACACATGTGTATATATATATATATATAGCCACCTGAATCCTAAACCTGAACCTTCACTCCCCAAAGCTCGAAGCTCTTGATCTTAGCCTCTGCTCGGCAATCCAGAAGAGAATCTTGATCAAGCAATGTGCAAATCTATATATATATATATATATGTACATATGTGCGTGTATATATATATATGTATATATGTATATATTTGCAAAGAGAGATGTATGTGTGTATATACATACACATACACCTTAAACTCCTTGTTGATGGAAACTACCGTAAGACGAGTTCTTCTAACATGTAAGGCATATTCCTCAATTCAGGCTCCGTCTTGCGGGCCTCACTGGCACTTTCAGCAACATCGGCCGGCCGCAGCAGTTTGAGCAGTGCTCGCACCTTGCAGAGCTTTTGGCAACTCGACAGCCATGTGGCTGCTGCAACCCCAAGCCTTCATCCAAGCTAACCCCCACCGGCCAAGATCCACTCCTCCGTAGAGCGGCTTACAAACAACGAATGACTAGATTTCCTAGCAGGGCTTCTTGCATCCCAAACCCATCACCCTCAGGGCCATTCTCTATGCCATGACACCTCTTGAGCTCGACGAAGAGCCGCGGCACCTTGCCGTTTAGGGTTTAGGGTTTTGGATTTAGGGTTAAGGGTTCAGGGTTTGGGATTCCTTTGACTCCAAGCCCTAAGCAGTAATCTTCGAGTTTCGGGTTTGCTTAGACCTCCCCAACTAGCCTCCATCAAGCCCCAAATAAACACAATGAATCCGACATCCCAGACCCCCAAAAGTACCTTACTTTTGCCAACCCTCCCCTGAGAACCCCACACCCTAAATCAAGCCGCATGAAAACCTAAACCCTACTATAGGAGCCTCAATAGCAAAAAGAATAGGGCTTGAGGGCATATCAGACAATAGTTATAATAAGGAAACCCCAAAATAGTGTAACAGTATATGCAATCACTTAGGCTCCTATATCAAGCCCTTGAAGCCCCAAACGCTGAAGAAGTCAGCTGGGCTCCACGGCTTGCAGGCTCTGCGGGCTCAGGCTCGGGTGTCTCACCTTACAGGCATGACGCAACTTGGAGGATTCAAGGACTGACAAAAGTGTGAGGCTCTATGGGTTTGAAGATTTATGACTGAGGCTTGATGTCTTTTTTTGAGCTCCTTTTTGTACCTGCCTCCCAGTCCAGCAGCTACAAGACGCAAAAACTACCACCAGAGGTGATATCTATGGCCTCAAGGTTCCTGGCACTAGGACTTACGGTATTTATGGCTTTGGCCATTTTGGCTTTACGGCTTGTATATTTCGGTGTGCTGGCTTCTCAATGCATTTAGGATTGCAAGCTCGCTCCTGTCAGCAGAAACAGAATTTGTTTAGAGAGCCGGTTGGAGAACCAACAAGATTTCAGAACCAACAACAAGAAAGGATCCCAACAAGACAAGCTTAATCGAGTAAGGACTGTCCATGTCCCGTCCATGTCCCCACTGCTGCACAAATCTGCAGACTCACTATAGTTCGGCTAAAATTACCTGACTGAAGCGGAGTCACTCATTGACAATCGTCATTCCTCAGACACCAAAAATCTAAAGGTTCCAGAACCAAGACATCCTGAAGTGGCCCATCCCATGGGAGCACTTGCATGTGTATAGGTATATGTATATATTTATGTAGATGTATGGATGTAGATGCGTAGGTACATGTATCTGTATGTTTATGTGTATATGTATGCGTATATGCATATGTATAAGACATGTATATAACAGATGGGTGAACCATGTAGACAAAGCTAGAAAGCCCATATCAAGCCCTGACCCTGGTAAGCCGAGTACTGCTATACAGGTCGATTCACCCCAATAATTAGACTTGAACCCCTGAAGTCAAGCCCTATAAAAGCCATTAGGTACTATGAACTTCTCAAAAAGATATGTACTTTATATTATTGTATGATCTTTTGTATCTGTCCTGTGTAGATACGTATGTATGTATACATATATATATATATATATATATACATATGTATGTATGTATGTATGTATGTATGTATACGATCTGTTATATACTGTAATACTGTTATTCAGTTTTGAGTCATCTGAACATAAATTTCATTATTAGCAAACATTAGTCTTGAATTGTCGACTTTATAATGATGATAGCAACTAAATAGCAATAACTCAATGTTCTAATTGCTACTCCATTGAACTAACTGTATCTCATATGATATCCGAACTCCAAAGCAGATGAGGCCCAACATCCGCTAACTAAGGAATATACTTTAAATCATAATATGCCGCCCCTTATGATTTAAGGAATAATCCTTAAGGGGTATTGGGCTGCCTGGGAAAAGCAGATGAGGCCCAAGCTTTCACCAGGAGCTCCCAACGGGGTGGGCGCTGAGGCACTGCGGAAGCTTCGGCTGAGGAGTTCGCACCTCAAGGCGCAGTTACAGGGGCCTTTTGCGGTTCAGGGTTGAGGGCTTTGAATTTAGGGTTTTCGGGTTAGGGTTTAATCGGGTTTTGGGGTTGAGGGTCCGACTCGCGGAGGCACACTAGCTTTTTGCTTCGAGAAAACAAGCCTTCGGTAGCACATTATGAACAAGCGCACTCGCATTCGGACTCCCCCTTCAGCAATCCGCTGAACAGAAGATGCGAGATTTAGGCGCCCATCACACCAAAAGAACCCTGAAACTTTACAAGGGTTTCTGAAGCACCTTTTGCTTCATCATACCTGCAGCCGACTTACGCAGCCTGCAGTCCGGACTCAAGGCTTGACATTCATTCGTCCTTGTGCTGGGACTAGGCGCAGCTCCGTGCGCCCCCTCCACTCACGATCCGCTAGTGTTTGCGCAGGCTTGTGCAACTCCTTGTAGTTGTCTGCCACGACACGCGTCTCTCCATTGGCAAACTTCGCAAAGGTCTGCCTCTCTCCTGTAAGTTGTGATTGGATAGGGCCTCCAGCGGTCTGGCCTGGCACGAAAAGCTGCATCCGAGCGGCGGCGTGCCAGCGAATCACTACGCCATTCGCTTCGTCCCATTCCCAGCGATCGCGCTTTCCGGAGGGGTCCGGAAAGCTGTATGCTGTCTCGGCTGGCCTAGTCACGATGCGAGGCTCTGGAGCTTGCATGGTCACCGTAGGAATCGGAGGCGTTGGTGGACGACGTTCCCCAGTGACCCGACTGCGATTCCGCAAGGTAGAAGAAGCAGCAGCCTGGGAAATCACCGGTGAGGTTACCTCCTGTCGATCCTCGGTGCCTGAATCAGGATCCGAGGACCTACTCAGCGAGGTCTCTTCCTGTGTTCTCCGCAGGCCGCTCCGGCGGTAATCCAGTCTCGGGTCGACCTCGCTTCTCAGGCGTCGTATGCCGCCTCGGTAGTAGCCAAGCATCGTGCTGAACGCGCCCTTCACGCACTCCCAAATCGCAATCACGGCCAGCATGCACAACCCAACGAACCGGTAGTCGAAAGGCTCCCGGGGGTCGATCTCGGCAGCCTCTCCATGCTCCACCATAGCAGCCAAGCATAGCACCATCATCAACTTCTTTGCCTGGCCAGCGGTCAAACTCTTGGTAGAAGCGGTGGAGCGTGTGCGCACCACCCTCATCCTATCAACAAGCATGTTGAAGCGATCCGCAGCCAAGGCCTTCGTTCCCAGGTCCGCCAACATCACCTTGCCGTCGACATGGTAGGCGCACCAGTTGGGGAGCTCAAGCAGCTCTCTGATCATGTTGCCACGGATCCTCAAGTGCCTTGTCCTCCACGAGCCTGCCGCACATCGGCACACCGCTAGGGCCGACTGGCTATCCGAATACATCACCTTGATCACCTCATTGATCCGGGCACTCGAGTCAAGCATGATCTCAGCAACCAAATGCTCTACTGACTTCACACAAGTAGCTAGCTCGCAAATGGCCACCAACTCGCTCTCCGCCGTCGACATAGTCACAAAGGCCTGGCGATGGCTGGACCAGGCAATGAGCCCGCCAGCCACAAAGACCATCACAGCTTGCTGGCTTCTCTCCGCACTCGGGGCAAAGCTGGCGTCACAGTAGCCTTCAATGACCGCATTGGCCGCCGACACCTGACCATCTGGCGTCACTTGAGGCCGTCGGGTGTACAGAAGCCCAGCCTTGGGGAAGCGCTTGAGGTACTTGATCAGGTGGCCTCCGCGGTACACCGCCTCTTTTGGTCGTCGGCTTATGGTCTGCGATAACAGATTCACCGCATAGAGGATTTCCGGCCGGCATCGTCCCGCCAACCATTGTAGTTCCCCCGCCATCACCTGTGCCGTATGAACGAAGTCCGCCGCGACCTCGCCGTCCTTAAGCTCGAAGTCTTCAGTGCAGAGCTGCATCGGGGCTGGCACCTCCTCATAGCCGGGCAGGTCCTTGTAGCGGTCCAAAAGGTCCTTCGTATAGGAGTCCTGCCTCAATACCAGACCATCCTCTGTGCTCTGGATCTCAAAGCCGTTGAAGGTGACATCATCCCATTGGGGCTCAGTGCACTTCCAAGTGCTTCCAATCATCCTCGCAACCTCCTGAGCAACGATCTTCTCGCCCGCGATCAGGAGGTCGTCCACATAGCAGATGAGGGCCCCGGCACGACGAGCTCCAACCTGAATATACCACAGGCTTCCATCGATCTCCGACTGGATCAATTTGACCGGTCCTTCCGGGACGGTGCCTTTCATCTCCGCCAGCGTGCGGTTGCGGTACACCTCCCATGACCTCGGAGAAGTAACCAAACCATACAAGGCCCGTTTGACCCTCCAAATCCGCTCTTGGCACACGTTTCCAAGAAGAAACATCTTCGGCACCTGGACCAAGGTGGGTCGATCTTCTTGAAACAGGAGAGGAGCTAGTAAAAAGGCCGTTCGTACATCCATGACACAGACACTCCACATCACGAGAGCGATCATCCGGAAGAGGATGCGGGTCAAAACTCCATCTGCACCAGCAGCATACTTCTGGTCCTTCGAGAAGTTCTGCCCCAGGAAGTTGCCGCAAATCACCGCCCTCGTCTTCAAACGGCCCGTGAAAGCCTTCACGGTGTGCACGGTTTTCCCGGGAACCAAATCAAACTCACGTCCTTCCCGGCGCCACTGGTCCAGGAGCTTCTCATCGAAAGGCTCCACCGCGTCATTCTCCCGGACCAGAGATTCGTACTCCGAAACCATGCTTGGAACCCACTTGCCGATCTCCTTCCGGACCACGTCATTGGGAATGGTCTTCGTGTGCAAAGGCATTTCCAGCTCTTTTTCCTCCGCCACCTCGACTTTCTTCACTGCACACTCTGACTGCTCCGTTTCCAAAGACGAAAACTCCTCCATGGTGCCTTCCAAATCGGCACGACCTTGAACCCACCTGGACAGTGAGCCAGCACCGTCTTCTCCTTCTCCGCCTTTTCGTAGAAGCTCGTCCCCATCCAGGTACTCCTCCTGGATCAGCGCAAGACGGAGATCGTCAAGGTAGGTGTCAAAAAGATCCCATCCCACCTCCAACGGAACCTCAGAACCAAGGAGCATGTACGAGGCCTCGTCCTGGTCATTGATCGCCTTGAGCTTCGGAACTTCGGGCGGACCATAGGCCCCCCAGGCCTCATTCAACCATGCGCCGTCACCGAAGCCGCCCACATCCTGGTTCCCAAGCACAGCCTCTTCCGACTCCAGCGCCTCATCATCTCCACCAATGTAGAACACCTGGGGCTCCAACCGCGACTTCACCTGAGACACCCGGCAGGTACACAGCGACGGATCCACCTCGTAGCCTTTGCACAGACAGGCCGACTCGCATAGCCCGCCTCCGCCAACTTGAGAAGGTTCCAACATCTGATCCTCCCCCGCACCCTGACTGTCTCCATCGACTTGAGGGAGTTCCAATATCTGATCCTCCTCCAGACCCTGACTGTCTCCACCGACTTGATGGGGTTCCAGAAACTGATCCTCCCCCGAACCTGGACTGCATCTTCCAGCTCCGTCAAAAGCACCACAAAACTTCCGAAGGGCACCCTTGGAACGACGCAAACTTTTCATCGCCCCACAACAACACCGAGCTCCTCCTCCTTCAGCCCGCGGCTGAACCATGGCCGGTGGTAGTGGAAAACCCAAAGCTTGTAGTAGATCACGATCCGCTGAAGAGCAGTTGCAGTCACAGCCCACAGTATACGCACTGATGACATAGCGATTACCTTCCCAAGACTGAGGTTGATGAAGCCGTCGGGGGTCGAAGGTGACGAGCTGATGGTAGGTTGGGTGAACCTTGCCCGGTAGCCAGCAAGCGTCCACCTTTTTCCAGCGCACATCCGACTCGGCAGTCTCGTCATGGCACCACAAACCACCTCCCACATAGTTGCCAAAGCCCATCAAGTACGCTTTCTCCCCCGGCTTGTTGTTGCTGTCCTTGTGACATTGCGATGGCATGTTGAAGTTGACTGCTAGGGAAGTGAAGGTAGTTCCCGGAGGGAGCTGCGCCTTGACAAACTCCACTAGGAACTTCACTTGCGCGGGCCGATGCCGAACCAGATTGGTCGCCCCAACTACTCCACCATGCCGAAACATGCCAGCCACATGGGAGGTAATCCGGGAGCTGCGGCTGAAGGTTTCTCCTCGGCGGTTGGGTACCGTCTCTTCACTTAGCCAAAGACCGTCCAGTAGCTGGTCCATAGCATCAGCCGAAAAGTCCTTGGTGTCCAGGAAGGTTTCCGCGAGCTCCTCGTCCTGGATGAGGTGCTCCTCCCATTGATCATTGCAGCGTAGCTTTGCAATCGCGGGGGTCTTTTCTCGCATCCTGCGTCGAACTCCGGGCTCTCCAGTAGCAGAGGGCGGAGCATCAACCTCGAACTCTCCCGAGACCTCCTTCACGTTCTCGACCGCCACCATGGTAGTCACGTAGGCGCCGTCATCGGTCTTCACCAGGAAACCCCGCGCCACATCCAGCGAAGGACACAGAACCCTCGCCGCCACCACCTTCTCCGAAAACTCCTCCTTCTTAAGGTTCCAGGACCTCCTCTTGACGAAGACCCGCGTTCCAAACGGTGGTAACCGGGGTAGACGAGCACCAAGCTGAGTGGCCACCTGCTGCTGGATCCGGGAGGTGTAGTGCCGCATCGCAAAAGCCCACATCTCTGCTCCTAAACCGGAGCTGGCTAAGTAGGTCCGAACCGCGCACTTAGCCCTGCCAACCAAAGCCTCCACCCGACCATTGGCCTTGAAGTCATCTCCAACCGTCGTAGTCCGCACCAAATTGCGATCCCGACATAGAGCTCGAAAGCCTTTGTTGATGAACTCCCGGCCGCGGTCCGTGTGAATCCTCTGGACAGAGAGCCCGAGCTTCTTCACCTGCACCAGCACGTCCTTGGTGGCCGCTAGCACCTCCGCAGCACCTTTGCTGGCCAGAGGCACAAAGAAGGGGACTTCCACACAGGTCACATTCTCAAGCTTGTCCTTTTCAACTCTGGCTTTCCACCTCTCCATCTCCCGATCACTGCGCTCCGCCTCCGCTCCGGAGGCCTCTGCTTCCGCAGGGTCGGGGTGGTCTTCATCACAAATCGGATCCTCCACTAGACCCACGCCCTTGCCCTCATCATCACCATCCGGATCAGGAGGCTGAAGGATCTTTCCCAAAGTATCCGGAACAACCAGGGTGCCGATAAGCCCATAGCGGATCTTGCGGACGTACTCATCCGAGCCCTGGCGAGTTGGCCCGATCAAGTCCAGACTGAGGGTCCAGGCGTCCGGAGCAACAATGCGGCGATGGGCATGCCCTCGAAAGTGTCCAGCTAGACAGGCACGACAGTCACGCCTGAACGGCGTGTGGTCCCGCTGCAAGTGCTCCAGAAAGGCGCCGTCCAGCTTGCAGATGGACTCCAAGGTCGCTCCCGCCAAACTCTCCTCGACAGCGCGCTGCACAGCACGCTTCAGGCCCGGACTCCACGCCGCCCACCGAGCCGCTCGGAAGCCTTCACCATCCGCATCTCGTTCCTCCTCCGAAACAACTGAGGGCCCGCGTACATCCTGCAGCGCCTTCGGACAAGGCTGAGAGGACAACACCCGGGTAGGCTTCCTGCGAGGATGCCCGAGAGGACCTTGATCAAAGGCCCACCACCACCACTTCATCTCCTTCTTCAGGAACTGAACCTCAGGAAAAGCCCACAACGACGCTAGACCCTTCTTCGGCAGAAACTCCTGGGGGTCCTCCGGATGCTCCATCAGAAAATCTGGATCCTGACACCCATTGCCACGGGCCACCGCAGTGGCCACCATCCACAAGAAGATCATCCTGAAGGTCATGATGGTGTCTTGTCTCACTCGCCATGCCTCCCATTCACTGAGGTCTGCCCGACCCCACCTTCCATCACCATCACGATAACGTAGAGGACGCAGTTCCCCCTCTCCTTCCGCAGACGAGGATCGTAGTGCCGAGTAGGTCCTCGGGGGCGGTCCTCCAAACACCATCTTCACCTTTCCACTAAGGGCCAAATCCAGCAGGGCAGCGTAGGTATCATCCGCCATGACATCCTCCGCCTGGTCCACAGTCACCACGTGAGCCGCCTCCGCTGACGATTTCCAGGTCGCTCTGTCTCTACCGCAGAACAGATGCACGGCCACAGCAGTGGCCTGTCGCCACTTCTTCCGCTCTCGGCGGTTCCAAGGGATCCTGCTGCCTTCCATAGAGGCCACCACCGGAATGGCCGACAGCAGCCACGCGGGAGCCTGAGGGAACGCTCGACGAAGCCAGGCCCAGGAAATTCCAACACCATTCTTCAAGTCCTTCACGGCCTTGGCTCCCAAATCCCAGTCCAGCTTTGGCTCCGGGCTGCATTCCAAGACCAGCCGATTCACCATGAGCTCCGCCTCACGACGACGATTCTTGATGATCTCGGCCTCCTCAATCAACTCCAATCCCAGAGTCTCATCCACCTCTGGACAGCCGTTCACAACCTGGACACCCAGAGATCCCCGAACAGGATGGGTGATGCAGCAGCCCTCGGCCGAGTCCCATGACACCCTGCAGCCGATCTCCATCAGGTCGCTCATCGCCACGATAGGTGAGGTCCTCCTTTCCGTCAGCAGCGTTCCGCCCGGAAGTTGGTAGAAGTTCGCCTCACCCTCAGCCAGTAGCACTTTTCGAGTAGGTAGTCCCTGGGTTTCGCGCTGCCTCGCCGTTCTCATTGACGTAGTAGCACCTGAATCCACAAGTGCCCTGAGAGGCCCATTCGCCACCATAGCCACCCGATCCAACGTAGCACGGGCCAGCCTCAAAGACTTCAGGGCCTTGGCCGCCTCCTCAAAGAAATCCTCCCTTGCCGAATCACTCGACGGGGCCGCCGTCGTAGCAGCCGAGGTCGCCGATGCCTGAGGAGCTGCATTGGTCGCTCCCCCCTCCGTCGAGACTCCATCCTCCTCGGCCTTTCTGATCGCATCTTTGTTGCCCTTTCCACCACCGCCTTTCCGCCGGGGCTTCCTTCCAGGCTTTTCTGGCACTTGGTCCCCTTTTCCAGCCGGAGGTGCCGGAGATGTAGAAGGCGCCGTTGAAGAACTCGTCGTTCCCGCAGCCGTCGATGAAGAGCCATTCCCCTTGACCGGCAACCGGGCACTGAGGCTTAAGATGACTGCTGCTTCCGCACACCCAACAACGACCAGGGCCAAGTGAATCATGACGAAACATACAGTTTTGGCCATACTTGCAGCCCGATCCATCCGACCACCCCCAACAAGGCTTTTGCCCCTTTCCCTTGGCCTTGCCTTTGCCCGCATCGGCATTCCCAGTCTCCTCCATCCGGTTGAGCTTCGGCTGCGAGGGCAGTGGCTGCGCGAGCAGCGCGGCTTCCAGCTCCCCCTAGGCTCCGAATAGGCTATTTACAACCTATAGGCAATAATTAACTATTTATAGGACAATAGTTAATTTTTAACTATTGCCTATAGTTAAAAAATTAACTATGGAATAGTTAAAAATTAACTATTTTTAATGGTTAAAATAAGAGCTCAAGCCCCAAGGTAAACCCTCGAACCCCGGTGCGAACCCTTTTTTTCACGCAGCCGCAAGACGAGAGCTTCAAGGTTTCTTTTGGTAAATCTTACCGTCCTCTGTTCGGACATAACGATTGTGACCGCGATCAGCGAAATCTTTGCAGCGGCCGCAGCCGTGCACGAGACTGCGGCATTTGGAGCAGCCCCACCTGTAAAAGTCCTCAGGCTCACCTTCCCGTGGCACCGCAGCAGGGACGGCAGGCTCGGCATCGGCTGCAGGTGCGGCAGCCAGGGCAGCAGCTGGACGCTTCATGCTGGGCCTTTTCAGTGGAGCCGTTGAGGTCTGCAGGGCTTGAAGACGTTCCTCCTTTGACATGGGCTTGGCCGGGCTTGTAGCAAAGGCAGCTTCCAAAGCCCGTCTGCTTGCATTCTGCATGAAGCTCCCAGACCCCAGAGGCGTGCTGCTGGAACTTGGAGCACTGGGTGCATTCACAGGGACCAGAGCCAGGTGGTCAGCAGCTTTGCTGGGCCGCTGCAACTCCAAAAAGTTTTTCTCGATCTCTCGCTCATCCTCCGACGGCATCTGGGGGTCCTCGTTCGCCCCGCATGCAGTCCACGGCTTGGCTGCACCATCCGAGTCTTGCACTTGCAGCTCGGGCTTAATGATCTGAAGCAGACCCAAGATCAACTCCTGCTGATGCTTGCTCGCTCTGCTGAAGAAGCTCTTCCTGAGTTGCTCGTTGTCTATAAGGTCTCGCAGCTTCCCCGTCATCATCCGCAATCTGAGCATGAAGTAGCTCAGGGCACTCTGCAACCATTGTTCCCCTAGGGCATGGCTTGGTCGAACTGCTTCGAAGTTGTTCCGGCTGTGGCACGCTTGCAAAGCCTTGAGCAGAAGCGAGTTCGGCAGCAAACCGTTGTGGCACACCTTCAACAGCTGATGCAGCAGGGGCTCTAGACTGCAGAACTGTGCTACATGGGTCGCCAACGCAGTCTTCCATGTCATATCATCTAAGCCTGCGAGGCATCGATCCAACGATCGATGCCGAAGGTTTTCCATACCTTTCTCGATCGCTGTCTCCAGCTTGGAGACAGTGACCTCAGGAAGGACTTTGAGTCTGGTCTTGGAGGCCATGGCGGCCGCCGCTGCCGCCAACCCCCACCAGAACAAAACAGCTCGAACCGAACACTGCAGCAGAGATCGATGTATGAATTTCAACTGTGCGGGACAAGCCTACATATAAAGGATCCTAAACCTTGCACACGATCCTAAACCTAAACTCAGACAGACGCAAGCAAATTTTTCGAATCCGCAACGGGATGTTCACTTGATCTTGGAGTGCAAGAATGCAGAATCCCGCTCTGCAAGCAGAATGTCGTGGCACAGACCTCTAGAGAATTGGGCAACAAAGCGGGTCAGAGCCGCGAGAGGCTTTCGTGCCCGCAGGCATGCCTGCATGAGGATCTTGCCCTTACCCATATAATCCTCGCCGGAGTATGTCCAGACATGGACTGGTGAAATCCAGGCTGCGATCTGGAGAGCATGGACCAGCCAGTGAGACTTAAACGTTAATTGGAACAAGCATCGCTGCTGCCTCAGGTACTCCTTGGTGAGACGGGTCATGCACTGTAGCATGCTAATTGCAGCAGTCACCAGCTCATCGCACGTCTTGCGGCCTGGGTGCCAGCTGTCGGCTTCCTCACGTAGCTTGCGATCGATCAAAGCACTGAACTGAAGCACCAGCTGCACCAGGACGTGAAGTTCCTTGCTGGCATCCATATGCTCAGTCCAGATTGCTTCGAGGGCTTGCACACAAGCCTGGGTCTCCGCTGCTTTGGCTTTGAGGCAGGGGAACGTTTTCTTGCACATGGGGTCATCCTTGTCTCCAAGGAACATGCCGCGAGTCAGGTTCGTAATGCCCCGCATGGATGTTCCGGACCAGAATGCTCTCATCTGAGCCAGAAGAGAGGCCCTATTATCGTCGAAGCTGCCCGGTAGAATCTCCGCGACCAAAAGCCAAATCACGGATCCACATATCCTTTGATCCACACCCAGATGTTTTGTATGCATCAGATCTGGCACCACCGATTTGGGCGACAGGGTTCTGATCAGCAGTCGGCACGAGTGCTGCCGAGGGATGACCCAGGCATCTTCCTCGATGTTGTCGACACGAAGGAATTGGAACATATCCTTTCGCTGCACGCTGCACAAACCGCATGGTCGCAATGAGTTCCATCTTGGTAACCCGTGGGTGAGGTTGTACCACTCCAAGTCGCCTGTGCAGAACACAGGCACTGCGAAGTAGCTTCGATGTCTGGCAGCGCTTGCCAGCATTCCATCGAAGGAGTCGCAGATCTGTTTCCAGATGGCATCGACCGTGTTGTGTTGCCTCGTCTTGGCCAGGTGATCAGACCACACCGGACAGATCAGGTAGTGCTGCTTTCGGGTCGCCGTCCAGCGGCAGAGCAAAGACCGCCAGCTGATGAAGCAGCAGCTCTTCTGCGAAGCTCCTATTGCCGTGATCGGCACGCCGTCGCCGTGCAGGACCACGGGAACTGCCCTCTTGTCAAAGTTAGGCAAGGCTCTGACGGGGTGCTGCCGTAGGGCAGGATGGTCTCCGCATTCCCGCCAAAACCGTGCCACAGACTCCTCTCCCGGACAGATAGAGGCCGCAAAGGTTTGAGGTCTCTGATCTCTAAGGGTCTCGAAGATGTAATGTGGCTTGAAGAAAGGCAGCTGTCGCTCCCCCATGCTCAGGGGGATGTTCTCCCAGCAAGGCTGAAGAAAGGGTTTCACCGTCCTTCGCTGCAAATCGCGCCAAAGATTGTGGGTCTCTGTTCTGTTTTCCCCCAGCTGCCCCAGCATCTGAAGGTCTGGAGGCGGAGCGGCCCCGGCAGCTGCGAAGTCGTCGCAAGCCCGAACCGCTATGTCCCTCACTTGGGCCAAGCTCAGCTGACCCCAACACTGCTGGTTGTACAAGTGCTCTGCCAGGCTGGATGGTTTCTTGGCAGCAGCATCCCTTGCAGCCGCTCGTTGTCTAACTCCTTGTTTGGAACCTGAACGGAGTGCTTCTACCATGGCCAGGAGGAGGCTTGGTTACTATACCATTACTAACCATTGAAAGCTTCACTGCAGTCCTATTACAAATGCCGCAAACATACAGATTGAGCCGAAACGGCTGCCATCGTTTGGAATTTGGAGGACACGAGGTTTACAACAATCCGTGCCTGGGTGTGGCAGTGCCGCTGCTTTTTCTCAGCCGTTCACCGCTGACCTCCTGCTGCTCTTCACAGTTGCAGCTTTTGATCCTACTCTGCCTCATCAGAAACCTGAGAGAAGCAGCCAAGCACCTTGGTTGTGGCATCTGAGCCCGCCGGCGAGAAGTCCACTCTCAGCCCCGGCGAAAAGTCCGCTCGGAGCCTTAGCAGCCCCTGCCACTTTTCCGGTGTCTTCTCGGCTGGTCTCTCCGACTCCAGGGACAGTGACAAGCTTTCTTTGGCTTCGAGCCTTCGAAACTTGACACGCTTCTCCGGTGTCTCTTCGGCTGCTGTCTTCGCAGTCGCTGGGCCTGGAGCCTTCGCAGGCTTCTTGCTCGCCGTCTTTTCAGATTCGGATGCCGCCGGCCTCTTCATGGCCACGGCCGAGGCTGGAGTTTTTGCAGAGCCGGATGCTGCCGGCCTCTTGATGGGCATGGCCGAGGCTGGAGGCCACTGGAGGCTGGAGCTCGGACGGGCTGTGGCCGACTACCCTGGAGCCGAGAAATGTTCGGCCCGAGCACCAAACCCTATGGTAGTTTAGTCGAAATTACCGCGAAACTACCGCTGAGGGGAATCGAAATTACCACGAAACTACCGCTAAACTACCGCTACCCGAATCGAAATTACCACGAAACTACCGCTAAACTACCGCTACCAGAATCGAAATTACCACGAAACTACCGCTAAACTACCGCTACCAGAATCGAAATTACCACGAAACTACCGCTGCCAGAATCGAAATTACCATGAAACTACCGCTGCCAGAATCGAAAGTACCATGAAACTACCGCTGCCCATAGAGTAATGCTACAGTAGTACAGTAGTAGTAGTGTAGTAATAGTAGTAGTAGTAGTAGTAGTAGTAGTAGTAGTAGTAGTAGTAGTAGTAGTAGTAGTAGTAGTAGTAGTAGTAGTAGTAGTAGTAGTAGTAGTAGTAGTAGTAGTAGTAGTAGTAGTAGTAGTAGTAGTAGTAGTAGTAGTAGTAGTAGTAGTAGTAGTAGTAGTAGTAGTAGTAGTAGTAGTAGTAGTAGTAGTAGTAGTAGTAGTAGTAGTAGTAGTAGTAGCAGTAGTAGTAGTAGTAGTAGTAGTAGTAGTAGTAGTAGTAGTAGTAGTAGTAGTAGTAGTAGTAGTAGTAGTAGTAGTAGTAGTAGTAGTAGTAGTAGTAGTAGTAGTAGTAGTAGTAGTAGTAGTAGTAGTAGTAGTAGTAGTAGTAGTAGTAGTAGTAGTAGTAGTAGTAGTAGTAGTAGTAGTAGTAGTAGTAGTAGTAGTAGTAGTAGTAGTAGTAGTAGTAGTAGTAGTAGTAGTAGTAGTACAGTAGTAGTACAGTAGTAGTACAGTAGTAGTACAGTAGTAGTACAGTAGAAGTACATTAGTAGCACAGTAGTACTAGTACAGTAGTAGTAGTACAGTAGTAGTACAGCATGGAAACTACCAGTCTGCAGTGGAAATTACCGCGAAACTACCGCTGAGGGAATCGAAATTACCACGAAACTACCGCTACCAGAGTCGAAACTACCACGAAACTACTGGTAGTTTAGTAGTAATTACCGCGAAACTACCGCATTATGAATGGTAATTTCGTCGAAATTACCGCTAAATTACCGCTGCCGGCGGAGCCGGCTCCAGGCCGGGCGGAGCCGGGCCCAAAAAATTTCAAGGCCGGGCACGGCCCCGGGCCTGCCTCGACTAGAAAATTTCCGGGCCTGGGCCTGCCTCGGCCCGAGCCGCGGCTCGAAGTTTGCTACTGGAGGGTTGCAGGTTTAGGCTTCAGGGTCGAGGGCCTCGGAGCTGCAGGGCCTAGCTTTCGGGTTGAAGGTAGGGGTGCAAGGCTTTAGGGTGTAGGGTTGGGGCTTTCGGGTTTAAGGCTGAAGGGGTGCAGGGTTTTAGACGGGTAGGCCCTGCCCTAAAACCCTAAACCCTACCCTAAACCCCAAAACCTTAACCCTACCCTAAACCCCAAAACCTTAACACTACCCTAAACCCCAAAACCTGAACACGCTGCTTTTTTCCGGGTCGCCACAGTGCATGAGTGCCGGTGCCGGCTGCTACGGAGTTCCACCAGTTTTGGTGCTCGTGTCCTACAGCCTACTGTAGTGCCATAGGAATCTGGCGCCCTCCGGAGCCTGCTCCGTACGGTCTTAGGGGTGCTCCCTCTCCAAGACCCGGTCCGCCACACGGAACATGACGGACAGCACCTCGAGTGCCGAGCCCTGTGCCGAGGCTTTGGCCTGAGCTGCCATCGGTGCAGCTGCCGTGCTCGGTGCAGCTGCCGTGCTTGGTTTGGGCGGCTCCACGAACTCCACAGACTGGGACCGCCGTGCCCGCTCCTGTGGTGGCAGCCCCTTTGGCGAAGCAGGCCTCCTCAGATCTGGAGGTGAGCGAGGAGAGCGGGATCGCTCCATTTGCTGGAGCTCCTTTTCCCAGGCCGCATCAGCCTCTTGCACGGACGCTTCCTCTGAGAGTCCGTGCTTGGATCTCAGATGCTGAACCAGGGCCCATCGGGACTGAACCCACTTGCGGCACATGTGTTCGCCAACCCGTGGGCACCAGCACCAGGTGGCGGCGGCTGTCAAGCGGACCTCCGGCTTCGGAGTGGCCCTGCTGCTCTGAGAGGGGCTAGCAGCTCGCCTCTCCGGCCGCTTGCGGGGATCTCGAGATCGTCGTCTGCTGTCGCTGCGGCGGCTGGAGCTCTCCTGGCTTGGGGTTCGTGCACGGTCGCGGAGCTCCTGCTCCCTCTTCCTCACAGCCTGCTCCCTGTCCTTCAAGTCTCTGACTTTTTTCTCGTAGTCCTTCTCGCGAGCTTTGGCGGCCTTTTTTTTTTCCTTTCTGGCAGCCCTCCTCTTTTCCTTCTTTTGCTTTTCCTCTTCGTCCTCCGCAGGGGCAGGTGGCCCTTCTGCTGCCGTGCTCTGCAGCAGTCCTTCGGCTATTTCCGTCCTCTCCGGCGGCCCTGGCGAGGCTTTTGCAGCCGCCTTTGCAGCCTCCGCCTCTTCTCGGGTCGGGCAGTCCTTCTCGGACTCCTCCCCAGAGGAGCTACGAGCCTCGGTCCGCGGCCCCGGCATCGCAGCCACCAGTGTCCAAGGACCCGCCGGCCTGACAGGTGCAGAGTTAGGGATGAGGGCTTGGCTTTGGGAAAGGTTTGGGGGGGCGTTTATGTTCATCGAGCCCGCCAGCAGCCTTCCAGGGAGCTGGTCTGGAGAAGGCCTTTCGTACCTTCGCCAGCAGCCTCCCCGAAAGCTGGTCTGGAGAGCCGTCGTCGCCAGCAGCCTCCCGCAGGGAGCTGGTCTGGAGAGCTGTCCTCGCCAGCAGCCTCCCTCTTGGGGAGCTGGTCTGGAGATGGAGCCGTCCTCGCCAGCAGCCTCCCGCTTGGGAGCTGGTCTGGATTTTTTTTATGTTCTTTCGATTGGCTTGCTGCTTTCGGATTTTGTTCCTATAATGACTAAGAGGTTTCTGAACCCGTGCCGGCCTCTTGCACGGAGGCCGCTGATCCCGCATCCCCCGGGGCTTGAACCGAAAAGGGCTACGGGGATGGAGTGCAGCTTCAAAGGAAAAGGCCTCTAAAACCAAAACATGCTGCATGATCTCTACCGCTTCTGACCTGTAGCTTTCGTTGTTCTTTGTTGCTGCACAGTCGCTGCGAGCTCCAGGCTCCCCGCCCGAGGCACACAAACCTTCTAGCTGAAGTTACTTGCTTCTTGCCGGCTCCTTGGCCGCAGAACGGATAAAGATGAAGTCTGGATCTGCACAGATCCCGGGCTCAGCCGCTCAGCTGACTGCAACAAGACCTTTCAGCAGCTCCTGGGTCTCCAGAAGCTTGGTTGCTGCACCCGTCAGCACAGATTTCAGCTGAGCCAGGCTTCCCTTGTTGGAAAGCTTGAAGGTCTCAAGCTGTGACTGCAAGGGAAGCAGCTGAGCCCACTTCTCGTCCAACTGGCGCTTCAGGTTCTGCCACGTCTGCGAGGTGCTGCTGTTCAGCCGATATGTCGCCTGCTTGAGCTGCATCAGCCAAGTCAAGGCCTGATCGATCTTCTCGATGCATTTCTTGTCCAGCTCAGGAAGCATGCCGGGCTCCGGCTGCCTGTCAAGGATGGCCAAAGGGGGCGGCGGGGTTCCTGGCACTGCGAAAGCCGCCGGGGTGACACTGCTCGAGCTCGGCGGCACCACTTCAAACTCTGGGTCGAAGTTGTCGCAGAAGGCCTCCAACTTGTCCTTGCTCTCCTGGTCACAGGCGGCGGCCTGCTGCAGGCCGGTCTTCTGGACGACGGCGGTCCGGTGCTGAACCTCCAGCTGCCTGTACATGTACTGGGTCTGGCCCTTGTCCGTGATCTCGACGACGTCTCCCTCGCGGAGGGCTTTCAGAAAGGCCGTTTCTGATCCGCACTTCCCCACCATAATCGCCTTCGGGTAAGACTTCTGCTTCGTCTTCCCCAAGACGGAGCGGTAGTGAGAAGTCAAGGTCTGCACTGTGGGGTGGTTCTCGTTGATCTCCCACTTGGTCGTCGCCCCGGGCTTGACGACGTCGTTGATCAGCTTGGTCTTCGCGGCCTGAGACTTATATCAGGGCCACACACGAAAAAATGAACTTATGATTTTTATCTTAGCCCTATAAACCCTAAACCCACTATGCAGACCAATCATGTCAAGAAACCCGGGAGACGTCTTTGCTCCGGAAGAAGTTCTGCAGCTCCGACGACAAAGTTGGCAAACTCTTCTCGAAGAACCAAGCCTTACGCCTGTCACGGGTCTGCAACTCCTCACCAGCAGCCTTGGCCGGCGGAACGTCCTCTGGAAGCTCCGCAACGAGGGCCGTGGCTCGCTCTCGTAGCACTTCGCTGGGCTTCTTCTTTTCGGGCTTCTTGTTGTCAGGCTCCTCAGCCGGCTTTTCCGTGGCCTTCCGTTTCTTCTCTGTCGGGGCCTCTGGAACCTCGGTCTCCTCTGGCGGCTCTGCCGCTGCTGCAGCCTTTTCTTGCTCCGTGTCGACCGCCGTTGCTTTGGCCTTTGCTTTGCCCTTGGCTTTGGTCTTGGGTTCGGCCTTGCCTTTGGCCTTGGGTTCGGCCTTGGCTTTGGCCTTGGGTTCGCCCTTGCCTTTGGCCTTTTCTTTTGCCTGGGCTTTGGGCTTTCCTTTGGCCTTCGCTTTGGGCTTCGCTGTCTCCGTCTCGTCCGGCTCGCCGACCTTCCCTTCGGCCGTTGGGTCCTCGACCTGGCTGTCGGGCGGGGCTTCCGCCTGTGACTTCTGGGAGTCCTCTAGCAACGTCTGGGCAACCGCAAGCGGGTCTAGCACCGAGCCGGTCTCGACGGTTAAGCTGAAAGCCAGTGGCAACTGCCGTCCGCCTTCGACTTTCGGAGCCATGGCTGCAGGGCACGGCTCTACGAAGTCCACTCGTCCCTAAGCTGTCGAAGCCACAAGAAGCTGCAGTCGATCGTTGCCGGACAAGCCCCGCAACACGAAATATGCAAATTAACCGTAGTTTAATAGTTAAAAATTAACTATTATAGGTAATAGGTAATTCAACAAAAATTAACTATATAGTTAAAAATTAACTTGCCTATAGTCAAAAGTAGTAAATTGCCTATTCGGAGCCTAGGGGTCCCCAAGGATCAACTGCGCATAGTCCTCAACGTCCTTAGCCATCGCCTTGTAGTCCAACTGACGTTCCAATTTGAAGCTGGCTATGCGAAAGGCCGCACTAGGGTGTTTGTTGCCCGCGAAAACTCCCCCATGAAGCTTGTCCAAACCACGACAAAGGAGACTCGGGTCTGGCAACACAACCTGGAGCTCTTTGCCACGCCTCAAAAGCCGCACCCACTTCCGGGCCAGGGACAAGGCCGAGTCCACAGAGTTTCCGGACTCCGGCGCCGTCAAGAACTGGAGCAAGTACGCCTTCTCGGCCGAGCCGCCGGGTTGGAAGGAGCAGTGGACCAAGAAAATCATCGCCTCCACCGTCACCGCCCTCACACTCACAACTTCCGCCCGCAAGTCCTCCGGCAAACTGTCCAGCAGCAACATAGATGCTCGCTGCTCCACTCTCTGGTACTTGTCGATGGGTGGTCTCTGCGCCAGCACTTCCTGACGGATCTGGAGCCTCAGGATGGGGGTCGACTCCAACCATCTCGTGTAGAGCACTCTAACCCTCTCCATCAAGGCCTGCCACCACGAGGCCGCCGAACTGCTCAGGCTCGACATGCTTGGTTCCAGCTGCGCCAGCCAGTCCCCAGCCACCACTGCAGCGTCCTGGCCCTTAGTCGCCGCCAACATCGGAAGTCGCGTCACCAGTTTGCTCGGCTCCTCCACTTCCGAACTCCCCGCAAACACCGCAGGAGGGCTCGCCACAGTCGCCGGTGTTGGAGGCGGAGGCGGAACCGGAGTGCCTCCAGGAGTGGAATTATCCCCTTGACGAGGCCTTCGAGCCGGAGTAGACGGAGACCTGGGCGGAGGCGGAGGCGGTGGCGGAGCCGACATCGAAGGTCCGATCCCGACATTTGGAAGCGAACCATTCACTCCACCCTCGCCACTACCCGCATTGCCACTTCGACCTCCAGCTCCCTGAGGAATCACCATCTGACCTTGCAGCATGTAGTAGGGTAGCCACGCCCCGTTCACATGGACCCATCCTGTAGCCGGAGCATCCAAAGTCATTCCCGCCGAAACTGGCGGCCCACCTCCTTCCCTCACAGCCTGCTCCACCGCAGTCTGCGAAAGCCTTCCCGCCTCCAAAGCCATCGAACTTTCCCGCAACATCCTTTCCGCAGTAGCCACTGTAGATCCCGACTCCGCAAACTGCGCAGACAACCTCGCCAAAAGCTGAAGATCCCCTGGAGACGCGCCTGGAAAAGAGGGTTCAGGTTGTCCAGGCCCGACATCCTGAGTCAGTGGCGCCGACGATCCAAACGAAGGACCTGGGCATAGCTGGGTTGAGTCGGGGCCCTCCGGAGACATTGTCAAAGGCTGCGTCGAACCTGACCCCTGCAATCCCGTCGGAGGAGATCCCTGAGGCATACTTGGCAGCGGCCCACTCGACGTCAAAGCCTCCGGAGACATAGTCGGAAGCTGCATACTCACCTGCGAGGATTCCTGAGGGATAGGCAAAGACTGCACCGCGGTCTGAGAAGATCCCTGCGGCATACTCGGGAGCGGCGCACTGATCTGAGAAGAGCTCTGAGGCATATACAGAGGAAGCATACCCGTCTGAGAGGATCCCTGAGGCATATACGGAAGGGGCATAGCTGTCTGAGAGGATCCCTGATGCATACACGGAAACTGCACACCACTTTGCGAAGATCCCTGAGTCGTACTCGGAAACTGCACCATAATTTGTGAAGATCCCTGCGGCATTCCCGGTGGCGGCGCCAAGGCTGACACCTCTGAAATCATCCCCGGGTGCCCATGCAGCACCAAAGGTCCCGTAGGCATAGCCAAAGGCCCCAAAAGCGCCCCAGGAGTACCACGGCTCTGCGACGCCCTCAGCCTGGCTGTCTCACTGTCGTCCGAGCTGAAAGTTCCAGTCATGATTCGGTCCAGAGAGGCCAACGGCCGATCTGGCAACCCTTCTCCTGGATCTCTCCCAGCCAGCTGCATCATCCCCAACTGGGCGTTCAGCCGCTCCATGTCCACATATCCTAGACTTCCAGCTTCGGGGGTTCCTCCCATGGGCGTCTCCATTCTCCCTTCCGTTGCCGTTGTCCTCCTCATCGACGCGCTCGATCCACCTCGAGACTGATTCTGTTCCACACGATCCATACGGCCAACCAAAGTCGTGACCAGATTGGTCATAAAGGCCAAGCTTCGCGCCACTTGGCCCACTTCTTCACTTCGTCGCTCCACAGAGACAGCTCGTTCTTCACTCTGAAGAGGTGCCACAGTCTCTCCCGCTTCTCGCACGCCCTCAGTTAGAGCAGCAGGCACAGGTCGCTGCCGATCAGAGGATGAGACCGCAGGTACCTGTGACGGCTCCTGGGTCTCACCGTGATTTCCCTGGCTTCCGTGCGCCTCACCCTGCTGCCCTAACGGCTCTGCCGCATCATAGCCAGGTTCTCGAACTTCATCATCAACTCTGGCCCCCATGAGCCGCGTGTCTCCCTCCTCCATGGCCTGTTCCACCGCCGGCAAGCCCCCGTTGTCATCAGCATCATGCGCGCCCCCATCCTCCGGCGGGACCTCTCGCGGGGCTGCCTCACTGGCGTCCATCGGAGCTCACCAACGACTTACCAGCCTCACTTAGGAGGAGAGCGTTGGGCTCATAACCTCCGACTCGCGGAGGCACACTAGCTTTTTGCTTCGAGAAAACAAGCCTTCGGTAGCACATTATGAACAAGCGCACTCGCATTCGGAGAGGGTTTTAGAGTTTTGAGGTCTCCGAAGGCGGAAAGCAACGCTGGGGACGTAGTAAAAATGCCAAAGCCTGAGCCAGAAACACCAATTCTTAAGAGGCAGTATTCTTAGGATCCCTTTCTAAGCCTTAACTTAACCTTTGCCTACTTGGATCCTGAGTTATCCGAACTTCGAACCCCTAAACCCCTGAACCCTAACAATTAACAACACATCTGCGAAATAACCTTTAAAATCCTAAACCTTGGAGCAACTGCATGACCATGCTGTAGTCCTCTACAACCTCTGTATAAAGCTGAAAACAGCGCTATAAAGCCTGATAAACCCTGAAAGCCCGAACCATGGGCCTACTCAGCATTACCTGGCGAAGCCCTACCTGTAGCCCGACAAAATAGAGTTTCCCGCCTTGGTTTCCCCAAACCCTTCAAAACTCACTAAGCTATGACCCCTCTCGTGTAAAAGGTGAGCAGTTGCAGCCACCGGTGTAAGCTCCAGACACTAGGATGGTCTCCTTCGGCCTCTGTATGCCGGTGTCCTGAAAAAGTCGGGGAGTGCCTAAACCCTACACCCTGAACCCTAAACTTGTTCAAAGTTATCCTGCAGCCTGTTGAAGGGTTCTTCGAGGGCTCTTTTGCGGATCTTTGAGGGACTCTTCTTCAGTTCTGTCAGGATTCCTTTCTACAGGGCTTCCGTAAGAGATTAGATGGGAATACAAATCCTCTGCTATGGCTTTTTGTAGAGGTCCTACCCAACACCCCATGCTTCTTGTTCCGGGTGGAGGGCACAGCTTTGAGGCTTCGGATTAGAATAACTAACCAGTGGTTTTGGGGTTCCCTGGGCTCTTTAGCTCCCTATTCAATACGGATTATCATCATCCTTGGCTCCTTAGCTCTTCCAATATCAAAAGTTAGATAGGCTTGTCCGAAGTTTCCAAGATAGGGGTTCCCAGGCTTGGAACATTGGGCTTCGGGCTGTTACATAGGGTTTCAGGGCTTAGGGTTCAAGGGAGTTTTGGGGTTGGGTGATTTCATGTGTGTTTCAAGTTCCGGGTTTTTCAAACACAGACCAGCGTATGAGGCGGAATGGGTCATGGCATTGTGGAGGGGAGTTCGCGAATATTTCGGATTCCCTCACAAGTACCCATGCAGCGACAGAGGAGCTTGTACCAGGGGCGGCCCCCCAAGAAGACCAACTGCCTTGTCAAACCAAGCCGCAAACAGACGCCACTGCACCACCAAAGCCTCCATACACCCGAAACCGAGAGCCACAAACTCGCAGACCCCAAACCCTAAAGATATTCCCAGCCCCTCAACACAAACCTGCATCCAGAGAATCCTGAACCCCAAAAACACCCATAAAGGTCACATAATTCCCTCACAAGAGCTTTCGAAAATCCACTTAAGCCCTGACAACAAAAGGGATCTGCGTAGCCCCCGCCCCCCCTCACTGAAACCTCCATACGAAGCAGTCCTCTACACAGCCTAGGAGGGATGGGGAGTCAGAGAAAGTCACCCCATTTGGACCTCAACATTCTATCTTTGATGCAAGATCCCTAAACCCCTAAAGCCTATAAACCACATAAGCCCTAAAGCCCTAAATCCTAAACCCCTAAACCCGAAACCCTACAGCCTAAGCCCTAAACCCCTAAATCCTAAACCGCTAATCCCCTAAACCCTAAACCCCTAAACCCTAAGACCACAAACCGCAAGATCCCTAAACCCTAAAACCCTAAAGCCTAAGACCCTAAACCCTAAGACCCCAAACCCTTATAAACCCCTAAACCCTAAAGCCTCAACCCTAAACCCTTAAACCCTAAGACCCTAAACCGCAAGATCCCTAAACCCGGGCTGGCCTGCAGCACGGCCAGGAGCACCGACTCCACCTTGGGATCCTCGGAGCTGCAGGGACTAGAAACGAGGGGATTCAATATACCTTAAATCATGGTGGTTTAGGGTTTAGGGTGTAGGTTTAAGTTTAGAGTTCAGGGAATCCTTGGGGCATGGTGCTTAAGGAAGATCCTACGTAGGGGCAAGGGCTCTAAGAAGAGGTTTATGCAGGGCTTCCTCGCTGCTTTCGGGGTGCTCTAAGGCCGCTATGAGGCATCAGGATGAGGTTATCGTTCAAAGAGTTGGGAGCGCTGTGCTTGTCCTTAGTAGAACCCTTGTAAAGGGACCCTGAAACCCTAATCCAGTATGGATCCTTAATGAAGCCCTGGAACCCTAAACCTCAAAACCCTCAAACCCCTTAGCCCTAGACCCAAAACCCTAAACCCCTCCACAGGCACCTCTATAGAACCCTTATAGATCCCTTTGAAGGAACCCTAAACCCAAACCCCAAACCCTGTCGAAGCCGAAGAGCCTGGAACCCAAACCTTGGCGATGTCCGGGAGTTCATATGCTCAAACAGGGTCCCTTTAAAGGGTTCCTATCAAGGTTACTACAAGGGTTACCTCCAGTCTCCAGTGTACCCCCTTTTCGAGGTTCCCATTTTAGGGTCCTTACACCAAAAAAAGGAACCACAATGGAGACTACAGGTACTATACCCTGAACCCTAAATAGATCCCTTTACAGGGGTAGCTTCCTTCGAGCAATGGAGACTACAGGTACTATACCCTAAACCCTAAACCCTAAAGATCCCTTATCGGAGCACTTATAGATCCCTTTAAAGGGACCCTAAACCCCTAAACCCTAAAGATCCCTTATAGATCCCCTTAAAGGCATTGTAGTTCCTTTTTGGGGTTCAATTGGTTAAACCAAAAAAAGGAACCACAATGGAGACTACAGGTACTATACCCTAAACCCTAAAGATCCCTTATAGATCCCCTTAAAGGGACCCTAAACCCTAAACCCTAAAGATCCCCTTACTTAAAGGGACCCGAAGAGCCTGGAGTGGGCGAAAGCCCTCTGGCTCGGAGGTGGTTTCGTAGAGGCTCTGCCTTGCCAGCTCTCGGGTTTCAGGCTTTGAATCTTGGGTTATAGGGTTCCTTTAAAGGGATCTATAGAGGTGTCTAGGGGTTTAGGGTTTAGGGTTCCTTTAAAGGGATCTAGAAGGGTTCTGTAAAGCTGTCTATAAGGGTGTAGGTAGAAGGATCTTGAGGGTTTTCAGAATTAATTATAGGGTTTAGGGTGTAGCGGGTTTGGGGATTAGGGGTGAGGGTTTAGGGTCATTAGGGTCATTAGGGTTTTCAGGGCTTATAGGGTTCAGGGTGTAGGGTTTTAGGGTTTGGGGTTTAAGGTGTAGGGTTTAGGGTGTAAGGTAGGGGGTGTAGGGTTGGCGCAGAGGTTCTGCCTTGTAAGAGCTAGGTTAGGTTTCTACGGTGTTTTGCAAGTACAGGGCTTTCTAGGATTTAACACGGCTGTTGATGGATTCCACAGGGTCTTTCAAGTTTTGTCAGGGGCTCCGACCTAAACCCTAAACCCAACCCTAAACCCTAAACCCTAAACCAAGGATAGGGGTTATACACAGGGACTCTTTTTGACTCTACGCACACTCATACAAACCTTCTAGAGCCCTTCAACGGCTTCTCAATGTAAGGGTATAATATGACTCTACGCCGACTCATACAAACCTTCTAAAGCCATTTGACGGACTAGTAATGTAGACACCTCACGAAAAAGTCCCCTTCCGTTAATATTGGTCATCACAGCGATTCCAAAAACAAGGCCGTGATGTGAGCGAAACTTGAGTAGTAGTGTAGTAGTAGTAGTAGTAGTAGTAGTAGTAGTAGTAGTAGTAGTAGTAGTAGTAGTAGTAGTAGTAGTAGTAGTAGTAGGAGTAGTAGCAGTAGTAGCAGTAGTAGCAGTAGTAGCAGTAGCAGCAGCAGTAGTAGTAGCAGTAGCAGTAGCAGTAGCAGTAGCAGTAGCAGTAGCAGTAGCAGTAGCAGTAGCAGTAGCAGTAGCAGTAGGAGTAGTAGTAGTAGTAGTAGTAGTAGTAGTAGTAGTAGTAGTAGTAGTAGTAGTAGTAGTAGTAGTGGTACCAGCAGCAGTCGTCGTCGTAGTAATTGTTGTTGTCAGTTCTTGCGGTAGCAACAACAGTAGTTGTAGTAGCAGCAGCGGAGCAGAGGCAGTGGCAGTAGCAGCAACGGTAATAATAGCGCTGGCAGTGGCAGCAGCAGTCTCATGCCTACTCGTATCAATAGTTCGAACCTTGTTCTGCCCTTCGTGGGGCTGCCTTTGGTCGGTCTGAGTACTTCTGCACGTTGTCTATCTCATACTGTGCTATCAAGCAACACAAAGTGCGAAGAACGCCCAGAAACCCACCCCACCCGAGGATTATCCACTTCTAGTCTGAACCACGTCGCGGCGGGAGCTGATGCAGCAGCAATCCGCAGGACGGAATGGGGTTACTAGTAGGTGTCTGAGTTTACACGAGGCACTGTGGTGATAACCGTGACACGTACCTGACTGCATACCTATCTATACCTGCTCTGCCAAGAGGCTGGCTGCTACAGAATGCAAGGCCCCCAGATGACCTCAATGAGGCTTTTCCCATGCCTGCACAGGTCTCCTACTGCGTCCTTTGCCGCTTCGCCGCTTGCGACGACTTGCCCAAAGCGACCTCCAACAGTCCCGATCCTAGGTGGGGCTTTAGGGTTTAGGGTTTAGGGTTTAGGCTTTAGGGTTTAGGGTTTAGGGTTTTAAAGCCGTTGAAAAATATTAGTAGATAAGATCCTCTTAACCCCAATAAGGGAAAATACAAAATGTCCCAAAGCCCTAGGATCCCTCGACATCAGGAAGAGCCAGCTGCTGCTTGTAGTTCGCAGGGTCTGTAGCCCCTTCCTTGCTTGTGCAACTTCAGAAGGGAATTTAGGCCAACCTTTGGGATGGGACAAGGGATATAGGTCCCCCCAAATCGCATAAAAGCTCACTGCTCTATAGCCCCAAACCCTCAAACAGCTTAGAGCCTGAGTTCTAATTTCCTGCGGCCCTGAAAGGGTCCAAAGCCCCGAAGCGCCAAACTCTCAAGAGCCCTTAAACACAATCCTAATGCCAAACCCGGTAAAGGTGCCCCAAACCTAAGCCCTAAACCCTTAAGAACTCGATTGAATCCGAAACCCTAAGCTGGGCCCACAAACCCAAACCCTAAATCCTTAAAGAATCCTCAGATGAGTTCACATAGATTCCGTGAAGGAACCCTAACTGTACCCTCAGGAAGCCATAGAACCCTTTATAAATTCCAGGAACCCTGAACCTCCGGGAACCCTTAGCTATAGGGTACTATAATAGGTTCCCTCCCCTTTAAGGGCACTATAGGCTACTATGAGAAGGTACCCTTTCTTTAAACGAGCCCCTAGATGGGCCGGAGCTTCGGTATTAATGAAGAAGACCACGCTGTCCGGTCCAAGCCCGACATCTTCTCGCAGCGATGCGCAGGAAGAGCTCTGCATCAAATATTGCAAAACCTGAGGTCTTGTTCAGGGCCGCATTCACAAGCCTAGCAAGTTTGAGGAATATATTCTATACGTAATTCTGCAATCTTTGTGGCTGTGTATATACCATATTTATGCCATGTTTTTCGCTAGTGCCGAATCTAACTTATGAGCGTCTAAGACAACCTCTGCAAATTTCATGGGAACACTTAGACAAAACAGACTTTAAATCTGTAGCCCAATACTTTATAAACATTGTCGGCTCTGGTGTTGAACCCATACTGACTGGCTGTGGGTAAAGTATGAGCCAGAAAACAGTCTATAGCAGTTTTGATCGAAAGGGACACCTAGACCTGTAGACCCTAACATGCAGTACCTCGTGTTGGTCGTCGTTTTGGGTGGTTCAAAACATGCTACATTGCATTCTAGGGTCGGCAGACCCTAAACCCTAAACCCTAAACCCTAAACTCTAAACCCTAAACCCTAAACCCTAAACTCTAAACCCTAAACCCTAAACCCTAAACCCTAAACCGTGCAGCTACATAATAAAAACAGCAACCTATGCCTTGAACCCTGAACCCCTAGACCCAAACCTTCAACCCAAACCACCAACCCCTAAACCCCTAAACCCAAAACCCTTAACCTTAAACCCCATACCCAAACCTTCAAAAATCCCTTAATTAAGGAATATTCCTTAAATCATAATACGGACCCTATTATAATTGAAGGTATATTCCTTAATTAAGGGGTTTTGGAAGGTCTGGGTACCCAAAATCATCGCCAAGAAACGCCAGCGCCGGCACCTCCGCACTCACCGGCCTCCAGGCCATAGCGGTGCAGCAGACGCATCCCATTGCCTGCCTCTTGGGGGTTTCCCAGAGACTCCAATATCCCTTAATTAAGGAATATTCCTTAAATCATATAAAGGATCCTACTATAATTGAAGGTATATTCCCTATTTAAGGGATATTGGAGTCTCTGGTTTTAGGGTTTATAGGGGCTTATAGGGTTTTGGATTTAAGGTTTATAGGGGTTTAGGGTTTAGGGTTTATAGGGGTCTAGGGTTTATAGGGATTACGATTCAGGGTTTATAAGGGTTTAGGAGACCAAAGAACAGCCACCAAGGGCTTCTAAAGCATCGTAAGACTACAGGAATACAAAAGAACAGAAAACAACGACAGCGCACAAAGCATTAAAATGCTCAGAGGTCCCTGAACCCTAAGCCAATATAGTAGGTACTTGATAGATACTTAGGCCCCACAAGTATTTACTCTACGGGTCCTAAAAGAAGAGGCCCAAGGACTCTCCCTCGGATCCTCCTAAGGAGATACCATGACCCTTAAGGCACTCTACTAATCGGCGGTACAAGCTGCCAGATGTAATATGGCCCAAAAGCCTTAAAAAAAGAGTCTTTAGAGCCTTAGGGTAAAACTTGGACCCCTTCTTTGGCGGTACCTTACAGGATTATAAATATGAACACCAAAAGGGAACTACTATGGAGCCTCTAGGCACTCTGCTAATCGGCAGTACAAGCTGCCAGATGGTACTATGCCCTAAACCCGAAACCCTAAAGATCCTTTATAGGAGCCCTTATAGATCCCTTTGACGTTTACCTCAACCCTATACCCTAAAGATCCCCTTATAGGAGCCCTAATAGATTCCTTTAAAGTTTACCAAGCTGCCAGATCATCCCGAAAGCGCAAGAACGCCGAGCAGTTCTCCCAGAGGATGGGCCAGGCCAGCGAACTTGGGACGCCACCTGGGGGGCTTTATAAGGGGGGTCCATAACCCTAAGGGTCCATGTACCCAACTAGGGGTTCCTATAAGGGTTACTATAAGGGTTCTAGAAGGGATCTATCAGGGTTCTATAGTTTAAGGGTCCATGTACCTAAATGCTATATACATTGGCCTTACAGTAGTCCCTACAAAGGTACATTGGGGCCAATGTATATATTATTTGGGTACATGGACCCTTAGGGTAAGGGGGGTCTAAGAGGGTTCAGGGTTCTATAAGGGGTTATATAGGGCGTCCTTCTATGAGGGTTATACGACTTCTGATTATGAGGGCTACATGAAGGTGCTTCGGGTGTATTCATTCAGCGTCTGAGACAACGTGAAGGCCTGGTGTTGAGGGTTACTACAATGAAAAGAGTATGAGGGTTTGTGGTACAAGAGCCTTATGCGAGCTTTCTAAAGGGCCCTACATCAGGTATAGCGGTCATCCAGTCAAACAGGCTGTCCCTGAAACCTAAACCGCTAAACCCTACATGAAAAGAACAACTTTTCAGGCTACTACTTGAAAGCGAAGCCACAGGCCAAACCTGCCACCATCGTCTCCAAATCACCACCTACCTGGTATACGGATTAGGGTCCAGGGTTTAGGGTGCCTACCTTGAAAAGAGCGCCCTGTTGGGGGGTCAGTATGGGTTGTACAAGGGCTGGGCTTCTTGCACTTTTGTATATACACTTCGACAATGCTTTGTGTTGGGTGCTATACATTTTGTTGTCGGACGTGGAAAGATTTCATAGCATCTTGTCTAGGATGCCCAGCGACCTAGGAATCAAAA